TGATGGGGTGGAGCGCGTGGCAGTGCAACGACAGCTTCTGGCTCAGCGACACGGTGTCGAAGCACTTGACGTTCCCGGCGGTGGACACCACCCAGGGCAGCACCTTCTCGCCGCCGACGCTGGACAGCACCAGCAGCTTGGACACCCTGGCGCCGCGCGGTGCAGCTCCAGCGCTAGCCGCGTGTCGCCCGCACGGCCCACACCACGCCGATGTGACGATGTCCACGCCGTGGTAGTCCTTGAAACCGTACAAGCTTGCGTTCGCCATGCCGGCCAGGTCCGACAGCGAGGCCATGTTCACGGTCGACAGCGCCGTCTCGCCTGAGATCTTGGTCAGCAGCACCTCCGTCTGCACGTTCATGAACACGAAGGGCACACCGGAGGCCTGCGACGACAGTAGCCACGCGCGCGTCCGCGCGCGCGAGGGTGTCCTCCAGGGCGTTGTACCGCGTGTTGGACCCGTCCGTCGCCTTGGGTAGCAGCAGCAGGGAGAGGAAGCAGCTCGCCTCCGGCACCGGCAGCAGCTCCCTCATCTTCTTCACGCACGGGAACGGCTCGTACGCGTGGCCGATCTTGACGTCGGGTCTTGCTTTTAACATGTGTGGACGTCGGGTTGTGCGGTCAAATAGCTTCTCCGTGAAGAAAAAGGTTTGTACACAGTATTCTCCATTAAAGCTCCTCCTATTACTACCCTTCTCTCACTTAATTTATTTTCTTTCTTAATAAATTAATTGTTTGTCAAAATAAAATACAAAGTATCTAAAAGTACTAGCATTACTTTATAACCACCCAAACAAGCCTCTTTTTAGATTTGTTTTCTTCACCATACGCACAGTACTTCAAACGGCGCCGCGGATGCTGGTTGCAGCTGTACGAGAACGCACAGGTCGTTGGCAATTTCGTGTCGTATATGTAGCTCACGGATGGCAGGTTCTGCTAGCCTTGCCGGTGTTGGGTGGACGTTTTCGAGTCGAAGGCCCGGAGGATGGTGTACAGCATCGGGTGCCCCGTGAACTCCGACGTCGTGCTGGTACGTGACCTACGGCAGCCATCAGCATCGGCATCCGAGAGCATCTCCGTGATCTGCACATCGAAAGGCGAACGAGGGCGTCATGTCACCGTGCCATACGCCCAGCTAGGCGAGGACTCCCGCCACGGAAAGCTAGGTCATGTGATAGCGGAGCGATGAGTGAAGAGCGACGTCTATGTGAAGACTGAAGATCGACGACCGAACTGGCGACCGAGCGAAGAGCGACATCTTTGCGTTGTTTTAAGGCTCGGCATCCATGCTCATTGGGCTCGCTGTGCGCCACCGTGGGCTCTGTGTTGGGGCTGCCAACCCACTTGCCGGCACGGAGTGGGCACCCACCCTAATCTCATATCGGAATGCCGGAGCAAAAGGGCGCGGAGAGGACCACTAGCACAACGCACGTAACCCCTTTTCTCTCCTTCGTTTCACAGCGGTGAAGGACGTGGGTGTGTGACACACAGAGCTAGATGACGGCTCTAAGCAGCGCGCTTGTCGTAAGCACCGTGGCAGTACGGCGCCGGTGGCTGCCTGGTCGTCGCTCTCACATCACCGTTTAGACGTAGCAACTGCGTGGTTGATCATGAGCCGTTTCCATCTGTCTTAGATCCCATGTCATGTCTGTCTGGTGGTTGTTCGATAGGATGCCTCGATAGAAAGTAAATATTTTGTGGTTTGCATGGGAGAGAATCTAGCAAAGTTGTATCAATTTGATATAAATTTCATAGAACATTGTTCTATTATTGCCAATATTAACAAAAGGATAAAACATAGCATTTATGTTCCCATTTCCCACGAGTTATCTATAAGGCCTAAAAACGATTTTGACTTACCTGTGTGGTCTTCGGTCCATTTCAACCAACTAACGGTGTTGAGGGGTAAAATGATTATTTTATCCCTGACAAAAAAAATATTAAAGTGCCAGCACCAATGCAAAGGCCTTTGATAAGATAATTTTATTGCAATGTATTTGTGTATCTTATTATGTACTATGCCATGTAAAAAAAATATTGTTAAATTTATTTATGTAATTATGAACACTTTAAACCATGCGCAATATTACTCCAGATCTAAAATATATAACTATGCTCTGCACTTTAATCTTTTTTCGCTAGGGGCACTTAACATTGTTAAGTGGCAGAAATAGGCGGAACGCCATGCAGTCAAATTCGTTTTCGGGCCTTATAAGGGGTGTTTGGGACTACTCCGCTCCAGCTTCGTGTTGTCAAACACCTCCAGCTCCTCAAAAAAAGTTGGAGCCAGAGGCCAACTCCACGTTTTTTCTGTAGTACGTCAAGAGGTTGTACTCCCACATGAAGTTATAGGATAATTACCCACCTTGCCACTCATTAATCACCAATTAGTTTCCTTGATTGCGTCCCCTACCCGTAAACGTGAAGGCCGTGAGCCGCGACTCTTCCGTAGATATGCAAATAGGAGGTTACTGCTCCCGTTTTCATCCATGTATTTCATCCACGTACAAAGCGATTGGTACTTGGAAACTGATCAAAAAATCATAAAAAATATAAGGAAAAATATTAATAATCCTTGGAAAAAGTAATAATCATTAATAAATCAGCAAAAGAATCCCCAGAATCTTTAAACTTTAAAAATTAATTAAACTATTGTAAGACCATTTAAAAGTTAAAAACCAGAATTATTAAGTGCAATTTCAACCAGGGGCATAATGGACCATTTGCATGCAAATAACCCATTCCTGGAGCTAGAGCTAGGGCTAGGCTGTGTGCCAAACAGTACCACCTGCTCCACAAACTCCATGTTTGAATTGCTCCATGATGGAGTTCATGGAGTAGAGCTAGAAAAACGGGAGCAGAGGAGTCCCAAACACCCAAAAGTTAGCTTCATAAAAAAAAAAGACCATACATGGAAGTCATTGTTTTTTGAGGCCATATCTAAAAAAAATAATATCAATACATACTAATAAAACGATACGGTGGTCTCCCGACAAAGTGGCAAGCCGCCTCCAAGTTCAGGATGCTTGAGGTTCGTCGAGGGATCGGGACGGAAGACATGCACGCGACGCAAACATCACGAAGCCTGGGGCCAGTTGTGGCGCTCCGCCAGAGCAAGCATGCTCGCCACCGTCTCCGCGTCAACGCTAGCGTGCAGCTTCCCCTCGCAGATGTGCTTGAGCCTGTGTCGAGCCCGTACCGATCCGCCGCCACCAGTAAGTGCTGCATAGTCGCCCGTCGCAACCCTCGCCGTCACCCGGCAGCGCGTCCGTGTAGGAGAAGCAGCTCGAAGACCTCCGGCCTCATGTCGACGATCTTGATGCACGGCGCGTCCTTCTCCATCATGTCACCGAAGAGCTCCGAGCTGAAGACCGGCGACCGAGCGGCGAGCATGATCCGGTGCGCCGGGAACGCACGGCCGCCCACCTGGAACGTGACGTCCGCGCCCATCCCGGTCCCGAGCAGGCGGCCGAGGTGCGCGGCGTCGCGGCGAGCACAGGTGGTGGGACCGGGCCGTGGTGCTGAAGACGGTGAGGGCGCACCGGATCGTGAGCGCGTCGGTGTGGATGCACCGTGACGGCTTGAGCATGCTCCCGTCGATGAGCGTGTGGAAGCCGTAGCGCTGGCGCGGCGAGGCGTCGAAGATCTCCGTCGTGGTCCGGCTCGCCATGGGCGACACGCGGCTGTCCCGCTGCAGCACGCTGAGCAAGAACCTGACCGTCAGCTCCGTGTCTTCGTCGGCGTCGCAGAGGTGCAGGCTCGCCCCTCCCGGGGAAGAAAGGCGGGCGGTAATCGGCTATCGCGTTCCCTTCCCGCTCCTGCGCCAGCTTCGTGTAGAACCTGATCTTCCAGTCGTGGTCGCCGGCGCGGAAGGCGTCGGAGCTGACGTACTGGCCGACGCCCAAGCTCTTGAGCTCCGAGTATCCGATCACCATGAAGTTGTGCGTTGCGGTCGCCCTCTCCGCCACGCGCTGGGAGGAGGTCTTGGGGTTCGGGGGCTCGCCGCGGGCGTCGCCGCTGGCCGGGCACGCTGGTGCAGGTTGCTCGTCGTGCGTGGTGCCACGACGGCCGCCGTGGCACCCTGGTGCCGGTTGCTCATCGTGCGTGGTGCCATTAGGGACGGGAATGGCAGCTGGCACACTTGGCAGGCGGCGGAGCGGCGCTGCAGATTGATCTCAACTCTGAAGTTCTGTTGGTTGAAACTTGAAAGGCACGCCCTTGCTGTTGATGGCCTTGTGGGCACGCTTCTCATCGCATGAATATATACACGCACCTACACGAGTCTGGCAATCCCTATCGGTGTCGGCCTCACGAACATAATCATCAGCAAGAAAAGAAACGGAAGCGAAAACTAGAGTCTGACGGTCCGAGCCCGAGACGAAAGGGGAGACATGGTCTGACTCTGACAGTTCAGGAACGGGAACGACGGTGGCACGATCGGACTCGGCTCTGGGCTCATGTTTTGGTACCGGACTACTGGGCCTAGATTGACCTGATGTCGGTCCAGGTATGGGCCTTCCTTGGCTACAACTCCGGCCCTGGCCTTGCAATTTGTTCAATATTCGGCCCAAATCATGGCCCGGCCTGCCACTAAAACCCCCAAAGGAAAGCATCCCCCGCGAGGCCGCGACGCCGTCCGTCGTCTCCTTCCCCAGCGCGCGCCCGCGCCGCCGAAACCGCCGCCGGCCTCCTTGCAGGCTTCCACTCCACTGAAGCAAGTGGTCCGCACCGAAGCAACGATTCGCTCCTCTTCATCTCGTCGTCTTTCGCCGCCCTCCGCTCCCGTACTGGTATGAGCTGGCGTGGAGTGGATTTCCATTCGCACTTGGGGATTGATTTCTCTTGTTGCTGATAAACCCTAGGCCGCTGTTTTTTTTCCCAGGTTATTCTACTTATTCAACGCGCGCGACATACATTGGAGTTGCGATCCAAAGTGCTGGTGCATTTTTATTTTACACAAACTTTGGTGGTTCAGCCTAGACTCCATGAGCGACGACGGCATGGCCTTCCCTGCGGTGGAGCCGCCCAAGCGGGAGCAAAATTTTCTAGTGAAGGTAGGGATGGATGCCTGGACGCAGCCGTTCGCGGTTGCCCACAAGGTCAGGTTGGTGCACATCCTCAAGAATCTCCACACCTCGGAGGTGAAAATCTACTCGGACGCGTCTAAGGAGTTCATAGTACTACTGGATGGTGAGTCTGGCGGGGAGGTGCTACAGGAGTACGTGCAGCAGTCGCCGCAGCTCAGGGAGCTGATCGAGGCGTGGTGGCTCCACCGGGAGAAGCCAGGGATGGCGTACATACTTTCCCTCTTTGCGGCCGTCCTGGGCCACCCTGATGGTAAGCTGCGGCGACATGGTTCGGTTAAGAAGAGCTTGGACGGTGTCGCTAGGATGATACTGGAGGATAAGGAGAAGATGGGGGATGTGTATCTGGAGCTGAACAGTGGCGAGTTCCGACGGCAGAATGCCGCTGCTGGATTTGCTTGCTGCAATTGTCAGGCGTGGAGGGGGTCTGGCGTCGGAGGTCGCTGAGAGATTTGATTTTAAGATGGCTATTTTGCCGCAGCTCACTGGGACAATGAAGAAGAAAGGGAGCAGGGATGGAGGGAATCGGAGGAAGGGTGCTGAATTTGGGTCCACAAGGCGGTCATTTATTGGGTTTGCCATGTCGTTTTTGGAGGTTGGGAATCCAAGGCTGCTAAGATGGATCCTTCAACAGAAGGAGGTATATTCAGGGGTGCTTCGTGGGATTGGAAATGATGATGCTGAGACCGTCATGTACGTCCTCTCAACTCTGCGAGACAATGTCCTGGTAGATGAGTCACTTGTCCCACCAGGGCTAAGGAGTGTCCTCTTTGGAAGTGTCACATTGGAGCAGCTGAGCTTGATCTCAGGGAATCTTGATGCAGGGGAAGCAGCTGACATTGCTCATGAGGTATTGGTCATGGTGTGCACTGATCCGAAAAATGGATTGATGCCAGGATCAAATTTGAGAGGTAATGAGAAACGCTTGCTAGATCTCATGAAAAAGTTGAAAGCTACTGAGGTTGCTCACCACAAAAAATTGTTGCTGGCCATTGTGAGTAATAGGCTGTCTCTTTGTTCGGCGTACATGAACGAGTTTCCTTACAATATTGAACCACGGTCGTCTCCTTCATGGTTAGTTCTTCTGAGCATTTATCTGTTTATTTTTGTAGTGCAATATGCTCATGCTGGTCAAATTATTATTTGCAGGTTTTCGGCCATCTCCCTTGCAGCTGATGTCATAGCTTCAGCAAAATGTGATAGCATTGTTCAAACTCTTTCATCCAATTCACATGGTCTGGTATCTGTAGATGATGAAGAAGTTCAGGTAGTCTTGAAGTGCATCGTGCCCAATGTATGCTCGCGAGCAATGATAAATAGGGGATTGCTGCATTCTGATGATCTTGTGAAGCATGGTTCTCTGAGGCTTGTTTTTGAATCAGTTAACCTGCTTTGTTATATTATCGAAGCCATCAATTGCATGGTATCAAAAGGGAGACTGAAGTCAGAATTCATTGGCTCAGAGAAAGTAACCATGAAAATAGATGATTTCCCAGTATTAAGCTGTTCTGATGCTACAGATGCATCCTTAGTTGATGAGGTTCACCAGGAAGATGAAATGCAGGTCAAGAGGTGGACATCTCTAAGAGAATACATCCAAGATGAAGTTCATGGAGCTATGCCTGATCCTCAAGTCCTTCTCAAGTTACTCTCTTCTACCAGCCAGAAACATCAAAATTACTCTCAGAGCATACGAAAGAAAAATGCTCAACTTTCTGAGCCTCCTCAAAAGAAACGAAGATGCAGTCCTTCCTGTGAGGTTGATGATATTATTATTGGTGGCATTGATGTTGAACAGGATAAGGACGCGTCTGAAGAACGAGACCTGGACTTAAAAAATGACCGCACAACCACCTTGTGTGAGATATGGAGCTTAGATAAACAAGATACGAAGATGAAAGATGCAAATGTTGTAGAACATGTCTTCCACTCGAAGTTGCTGGATGTTCTCAGGCTTTATTTGGTAGGTACAGCTAAATTCAATGCTCTGTGTGCACTTGCTGGATGTTCTTAATTCTTCTGACCTTGACCTGATTTTTTTGGGTGCATGTCCCTAGTCTCTACTTCTATAATCGATGGGATTCATTAGCAGTTTATAGTATTAATATTTTCAACATCTAATTTTCTTTCAGGGGGTGATGCCCAGGTCTTTTGATGGATCATATGACTTCTTTAAGATTATACCACCTAACCCATTGGATCTGTCCATGGATGAGCAACAGTCCCTGTTATCTCTTTTACTTGAGTATTCAGGCCAATCTAGAGGATGTTTGGACCCAGAAAGAGCTCCAGAATCAATGTACAAGTATCTGCAACCCTTGGTTTATATCATGTTGCATTCACAGATGAAGAACATCCGTGATCAAGCATATATTTTAGTTAAAGCTGCTATGGCAAGTTCTGGTGCATTTGATCATAACTTCACAGAGATTGATGCATGGTTGGTTTTCTTGCCTGGTTATGAGGCCAAATGGTGTGTAAGAGAGAACCTAAGAGTTGGAGCACCTAATAAATTATCACACATTGTAATCCCTTTTCTGTGTGATGCTATTTCGGTAGTTGGTAATAACCTGTATAAATACCAAGAGCACACACGCAAGCTTATCTCTAAATCAGGCCAGTTGGAAGGTACTACTTTCTTTGTGAAATGTTAATAGATCAGTAGTTGCTCTTTCGTCAAATTAAATATTAATCGTATGTCAAGTATGTGCTCAAGCTAAGCTGTTTATCTTGTCTATGTTCCATCATATCAGCTGTATTGCCTCATGCTGTAGAACAGTAGTATGCCAAATGGAATGTCAAGAATAGGCAGTTGACTTAAAAAAAACTTACCAAGGTTTGAGAGGGTATAGCCTTCCATAGTATCATCTGACCATGTTAGCAACTTATTTGTTTAAATGCTCTGCCATGTTATCATTTGTTTAATTCCAGTCAGTTTTTTCCTTTTGGATTTCAATTTATGTGCTTCATCCTAAAATCACTCCATAACACTTTCTTATTATAAACACTGTACATGTTACATTTGTTCTTTGACATGAATCACTGACTCATCTTGTTGATGCTTCTCACTCTTTTCACTTCTACTATTTAAATATTGCCTGATGAGATTCAATTTCATCTGTATGTCAACCTTTTCTGTTGTGGTTTGTAGGCTGTTCTCCAGCTTTCAGCCCTCTGATTATTTGTGTTCTTCAGAAATGCCTTAGGCTACTCGACACAGAGTCTGGAAGCACAAAGTTACACGAGAAGTCCACAATTTCATTGTATGTGTGCAACACGATCCACCTTATTCTTCAGTCTCAGGTATATTAGACATTCCCTATATTGTCTATAATATTTTTACCAGATTTGCATGAAGAATTGACTAGACTGCTGATTCTAACAGGTGGACGTGCATTTATTGCCTGATCTTATAGGTACTGTTCTAAATGAAAGATTTGATAAATTTTCATCCCAAGAACTGAACTCTAGGATTTATCTTGCTGAGTGGAGGCCATTAACAAATATGCTGCATTTCTTGAGGAGAATTTCTTACCAACAAAATTATAGCCTGTTCAACATGCCGGAACATTCTCCTGAGTTTGATGGTAACTCGTTGTGCTCTGTATCTAGACAGGTTGAAGAAATGTTGAATCAAGAACAAACTAATTCGCTGGATGATGTAGCAACTGCATTCTTATTTTCAATCATATGTGCACCTCCAAAAGATGTTATCGGTGCCTTTCCAGATCTTCTTGATGTTGTGAAAACACGTTTTCCATCTCATGTTGCTTTCTTGTCCTCGGTTCTTTTTCTGCAACATGATTATCTGGCTAAAGTTGCTAGTTGTTGGCCAGATATATTCTTCAGCAGCATCAGACTGTTAAAGGATGATATCAATGTTGACCATGTAAGCACAGTTGAGGACGAATGGCAGAACCTCTCTGTTTCAACAGAATCAGCTCCTCTAAGTACATTTTTAAGTGTCAGTCCCTTCTGTGCGCTTTTACCTTCAGTATTGAGCCTTGCATTTTCTTCGCCAGATGAAATCAGGGAAGCACACAAGGATGCACTTCTAAGACTTCTTGAAGTTAAATTGTCTGATTGCACATTCAGTGAGCTTACCTTGTATCTGAGAGTCATCTTGTTCTGGACTCATCACCTACTGTCATCATATACTATTAAGGATTCAAATTCAAATAATCTTGAGCAACCATGTCATTTGTGCTTTGGTCTTCTTGATAGAGTATTCGAGCGTATTCAAGTTTTGACTGCTGACCTTTCACAGTCAAAATCTGCATACCCAGCCTATCCAGTTCAATGTATCCAAGACATTGTTGATTCTGTTCTTCGGCATCCTGTTATTACCCTGTCTTTGTCATGCTCTTTATCCAATTGCCAAAATTTAGCAGATGGGAGTTTGGAACATCTGGAAGAAGCTTTGGCTAGTTTTGCGAAGGAAAATCTGCACCTTATAGATCGTTTTGTTCTAAACCTTTTGGGTAAATTGTATGACCTTTTGCTAATATTTGGTAGCTATGGAGGTAACTATACAGATAATGGCCCATCCCATGAGTCACTGTTTGCTGCTCCAAATCTTCTGCTGGAGAACATAATATTGTTGTTCAAGGAGAAGTTTGAGCTCTGCATGGACAAAGTAAACTTTGGATTGCTTTTGCCAAATTTCTACATGGTTCGCACACTGTCAAAATTCTTTTCTCCTGTCAAACTCCTGAACCTTGCAAATTGGATGTTCCCAAAATTGGACGGTCGCAGCTCCAGTTCACCTGCTTTTGTTCCTGCTGTTTTGATGTGCCTATATATTACTGATGTCGCCATGGAAATGCTGTGCTGTTATCTACAAAAAACTGATCAGAGATCAGAATCCCATCTATTTCGGGACTTGGAGATCCATAATTCTGATATCAATGCCATTCAACAAGCCTATCACATCATTCTTCATTTTGCTACTAAGTGGAATATTGAATTTGCTGATCATTGCTTGTTGAAGATGCTGTGTCGTATTCATCACACAGAAAGATGTGCAGGATGGAACACTGACTATATTGCATTCCATATGATATTATCTACAATGGCCATCAATACTCCCATTGACACTCTTCATCACTGCATCTTTCGCACATCTAAGGTTAAAGCAAAAGCAGTCCTGTTGCTTTTGGAAGCAAGTCCTATGCATCTGAATTTTTTTAGCCAGATATTCTTGGAAATTTTAAATAAAGACACTTCTCTTTTGCAAGTCAAGGATTCTGATTCTAACAATTTATGGGCTCAAGCAGATGGTGCTATACTTCTGTTGCCTGCTGCTTTATCATGCTTGAAGTTTCACAGCAATGACAACAGGCAGTGTGCTGAATTCCTTGAACCAGTTCCAATCTTTTATTCTGAACTACTATTATGTGATAAAGGGTTTTCAAGTTGGAAAAGCTTTGTTACCCGGAGCATTTTTGAGGAAGATTTTAGGGACTTTATACCCACATCAGTTGAAGATATAATGGTTTATTTCAGTAGCACTCTCTTGGGGAAGTCAGTTCCGATGTTGCACTACTACTTTGCATCGAAAGAAATTTCATGGAAACAACGCTTGGAAATAGTTAGTTCAATTATTCCAGAGTCATCTGAGCTATTAGATTCTGATGTTAATGATATTAATCCCACTTCGTGCAATAGCATTATGAAGTTTACTAATGAATTGTTCGCGAAGGTGTCACTAATTAGACTGTTATTATCTCCTGGAAAATCATTGTCCAATGAAGTAGCTTCAGAGAGGGAGTCCAAGAGAGTGCACAAAGCAAAGCTAAATTTCATTAGCATATTGGTCAGAACTATCGATAGAATACTCATGAATTTCCCATCGAGTGACAATATCTTCTCATACTCTACCAAGGAAAGAAAGGTCATCTGTTTTCTGGAATATGTAATTCTCAAGAATATCATTGAACTGTCCTCAGAGATTCAAAGCTATCTAAATCAGCTGAAATCAATACCTTTCCTTGCCCAATTCATCAGATCATCCCTCTTGCATAGATTCAATGATCCTGTCACAACAAAAGCAATTCGGTGTATTCTTGTTGTGCTATCACAAGGAAAGTTCTCAGCTGATGAAATTCTTGAACTTATACTGGGTCACTCCAATTTTGTATCGACAATAACATGCAATGAAGTTTCTGAGTATCCATGTGCTTGTAACACCACAGGAGGGATGCTACAGCCAGCTCCAAGTATTTTGAAATTAGTTGATTCTTCTTTCATGGAAGAATATAAGGCAGAAATTTCTATTGCAGAAAAGAGAAGAGTTGAAACCATCAGATTACTAAGGGTACTGTATGATATTAAGAGCAGACAACAGAATAATAGCCAATTGAGCGAGTCAAGAGAATTAGTTTTCTTGCTTTTGTCTGTTTATGGCGCAACCCTTAGTGAAACAGATTTGGAGATACTTCACCTTATGAATGAGATAGAGTCACCCGAGTGCCGAACCATTACTGAAGTCGATCATCTGTGGGGAACTTCTGCTCTGAAATTCAGAGAAGAACTGAAACTAGATTTTTCAAAATCAGATACGCATAACACAGAGAATGCTGAGATTACTGAAAGGAGACGGACGCTCTTTCGGGAGAACATACCTGTTGATTCCAAGCTCTGTGCAAAGACATCTTTGCTATATTGCTATAAAAGATCTTCAAGGGTTTCTGTTTTCTCACTGGAACAGCTTCAACGGGATAACTTTGCTGATAGTTTCGAGGTAATTTCTGGAATAATAGTGTCAACTGAACTTTGTGTATTGTTCTAGGTTTTGTGCTTTCACAGTAACGTTATTTAAATCTACCTCGCTGATCTATCTTCATCTGATTCTGGTTGGCAGGTAACATCTCAAAGAATGGATGTTCAGATTTACGATTCTATTTTTATATTGCGATTCTCAATTCATACCCTTCACATGGGTTACATTGAGCCTGCTGAATTTGCCCGGCTAGGGCTTCTTGCAATCACACTTGTTAGTATAGCATCTCCTGATCATGAATTAAGGATGTTGGGCTATGAGTGCCTAGGAACATTCAAAAAATCCCTTGAGGTACCTGCTGTTTCATGAATCTCTAAATTTTACCTGTTGTCTCAATTGGTTTATATACTTATCAACTACTCCTATCTGCTTATATTGATTTTCTATGTTACAACTTATCTTCGCTTAGCTTAACATATTGTTGATTAATATACATGCTTGTATCAGTATGTTCAAATTCTAGCATTTGTTAGAATGTGTATATGCTTATTTAAGTATGTTGAAATTCCTATAGTTTACATTTTTTTTATTTGTTAATGTTATTCACGTGTGATGGCTTTTATGCTTATTTGACTTGAATGACAGCATAAAGATTATGCTCATTGACATTCTGGGAGCATTTTTATGACATATAGATCTGAGTGCAAAAGGCACTTGTATGGTATTCTGTATTTGTGATCCTTTATCCTTCTGTGTGAAACGTGTCTGTTATTTTCTTGAAAAATCCAACCACTTAAAATGTACTTTTACATATTTACAGTATGCTCAGAGAAGCAAGGAAACATGGCAGCTTCAGCTCCTTCTGACATACCTTCAGAATGGGATATCCGAACAGTGGCAGAAGATACCTTCCATTATTGCCGTTTTTTGCCGCAGAGAAGCATCTTTGACGCTACTGGATGGCTCACACGCTCAATTTACTGTCATTAGAAATTTTTAATGCATTCCACTTCTGTCAGCCTGCAGGTAACCATTCTTTCCTTTTTATTTGCATATATGTAGCATCTCAGAAGTGTATATTCAGAGGTATTGAATTTTAGTAATATTATTATCCTTTTTGTTGCAGAGCATTCCGTTATTTCCAACCTTATTGCAGAGCAGTTCTGTGCATTTTAAAGCTGAACGTTTGTGGATGCTTCGGTTATTATCTGCTGGATCAAATCTAGCTGATGATGCTAAAATATACAAGAGAGGAAGAGTCTTAGAGCTTGTTCTTGCCTTCTGTTCTTCACCTGTTTCAGATTTTGAATCGAAGGTTTTAGTCCTTAAGGTAAATTCTGTAGTTATCTTATTTAGTCCAGTTGACTTCCTGGATCTGAGAGTTGCTTGGAGATTTGAATATTTATTTATATTTGATATGCTTGCTTTGCATTGTAGGTGCTGAAGAAGTGTGTCAAGCTGCCAGTTCTAGCTCATCATCTAGTAAAAGAGTCTGGCATTCTGTTGTGGTTATTGTCTGTTATTTCAGTCCGTAGTGAAGGGTCTGTTGGTTCTGAAAGCTCCTGTTCTAGAGTAACTGAGTTAGCGTTGGAGGTAAAACACTAATATAAATTACTTTCTGCTATAGTGCACACCCCTTCAGAAGGAAAAAAAAATAGAGCACGTGATTTTTCATCTTTTTTGCACCGAGTCTTGGCTGCAACTGGCAACTGATCAACTGTTTCATGAAAGTTCTGTTGAACATGAGGACCATACTATCATTTTTTAAAGCATATAACTGGTTTGTGTACTGTTTGGTATATTATGTAGGACATATTGATCTGTTATTTTGATGCTTGTTCTGCATTTAGTCAAACTCACTGTCATAAACAGCCTTGAGGAAGTTCATCATGTTAGAGATGGAACAGATGGAATTTTTGCAATCATAGTCTAATTACTAATTGGTTTATTGGTGCATCAGCTCCATATCTAGGTTAAATCAACTATTCTATAGTATAGTTCTGAGCAGTTTTGTCTAGCAAGTATTTGCTGAAACCCACATTTGCTTAGATTATTTATAAAGGGATAGTTTTGGCACAAACGGCTATTGTTGTCAGTTGTAGCATTGTTCATCTGAATGCTAGAATTGATGGATAAAAATGATTGAATGACTAGTTCCTGTGTATATTTTTCCTTGGTGTGACATAAATCCTCCATCAGAGGTCAACTTTGACATCTTATCGTGGCCTGGTGACATTCTCTATAAATATTATATTTTTTGGTAGCGAGCTATGGATGTATTTGCTCTGTAGCATTTTTGTGAAGCTGTTTTTTTTTGTCACTAATCCTATAAATTTATTTGCTTTCTTCAGGTAGTCAATGGTTTGATATCATCAAGATTAATCACAGATTGGCTCCAAGAAACTGCCCTTGAGCAGCTCTCGGCAATATCATCATACCTTTCTGTCCTCCTAATTAACAATGCCAAATTATTGAAAGGAAATGCTCGCTTGTTGACTTCAGTGCTAAGTGTGATTACATCAACAATGAGGCTGTCTATGAAAAGGAAGATATACCAACCACATTTTACCTTGTCCCTCCATGGTGTATTTAATCTGTGCCAAGCTATTGGTGGTAGCTCAAGAAGTACAGAGCATAAGCTTGCAATGGAACTTGGTATCGATGCCATTCTGATGAATGGTCCTATACCATTTTTTTCTGAAATGGTACTTTGTTCATGCACTGCCTTTATTTCACAAGCCACTAAAATCACATTATTATACCATTGTCAATGTGTTGTCTGACCAAGTATTATATGAAATAAATGTTATATGTAAATCTTTGTTTTGTTTCACAGGATAAGTCAAGAATATCAATGGTTGTTTCTTGGGCAACTTCAAGCATCTTCTGGCTGTACTCCAACCAAAGATCTCTGTTGGAAATATCCTGCAAAGAGCCACCGAGAAATGAGTCTCTACTTTCAAGATTTTAAACGCTTGTTAGCCGCTTCTGTAATACTTGGAAAGATATCTAGCATCTCTCATGGAAAGAGTGTAGATCTTGCACGGGAGCACCAGCAGTCTTGAAACTCTTAGGTCTTTCTTGGACGATGCATGTGAAAGGGTTGAAACGGCAACGAGTTGCAGTGCAAATGATACTCTAGCTGTCATTATACTGTACCTTCAAGACCATGTGGCAAAGAACAGTGATTCCTTGCCATCAGTTGTTACAGCCCTTTGCTTGTTGCTTCTTGACAGATCCAGTAAGCAAGGTACACTGACTTTGCTGCATTCTGATGAAATTAATCTATCAATTTTAGGATAATTTCTTGCGTTGCAATTGCAAACATATATTGCCTTTGTGCTCTTATCTCTACTGGAATAATGAAGCATCTCACTCTTTCTTTTACCTTTTTGATGAAACAGTGAACAAACACCTGGCCAACAACCGTGGGAAAATTGAAATGCTTTGTTCAAAGATACGCTGCCCAACTGAATCTAATCCTGCATGGAGATGGTATGGGCTCTGAATGTAGAATATTTAAAGTTTTTATATGCTTCTCTTTTGATGACAAGAGCACTGAATATCTGTATTATCATCATGGAATTAATCGTGTTTATTCAACCTCAGGCATTACTATCAACCCTGGAAGGATTCTGCTTTGCAGCACACCGGGATGGAGCGCCTGGAAGAAGAGCAGGCCTGCCGAAGCCTTCTGGTCCTATTTTCCAATGCCTTCAGTGCCTGCCTGTCAGAGTTCCCGGTGTTGTCCCTAGATGATGTTGAGAAGTCTGGCCTTTTCCAGTGGGAAAGAGAGTCCATGATTAAACAGTCTTCCACTTAGTTTGCTGAAGAACTAGGATGATCCACATTTTGACCTGTGTATACATCATGCTCATACCATTGATCTTGTTTAGAAGAAGAGAATGCTTCGATCCTCAGCTGGATTGGATGAACCTACAGTGCACAGAGCCGAACCGGCCCTGTGCCCCTGCCTAACATCAATATGTTCAACACTTCCACTACTGTTCTTCTCTAACCAGTTGCATAACAGGGCCTGCATTATTGTAGCATTGGTAAAAGATTCACCTACAATGCAGCGTTTCCTGTGTAATTTTTGTCACCTTACCAATTCACATATATGGATTTCGGCTGAAATGTAACATATTTTTGACAGAAGTGTTTCTATGCTGTGCCGAAAACTAAGGCTCCGCGTCCCACACGATAATTTGTGTGCAAAAAGATTACTCTATTCGTCTCTAAATAACTGTCGCTGGTGGTGTGCGTGCCACAAGTTTAACTTGATTTGTAGAAAATGCATGTAACATTTGTATCTCCAAATAAATTTATTAAAAAACTATATTTAAAAATCTTTCCAATAATACTAATCATGTATCATAAATATTAATATTTTTAATATATATATTTAGTCAAAATTGTTTTTCAGGAAGCGAAAACCACGTATATTTAGGGATACTCATCGGCGTTCAACACTGCTCGCAAGAATCCTCATCAGAGGGAGGCGACAAATCAGTCGCTCTTCCGGGCGGCCAGAGCATCCAGCCGCTTCTGCGCGTCGGGGAGGTTGCAGGCGTACAGCGACCGCACCGCCTCCACGTGCTCGTCGATCCGCGCCTCCTCCCAGCCGCCGGTCCCGATCGGCGGCAGGACCTTGACGGTGAGCGGCACAGGCCGCACCCGCACGCTGTTGTTCCTCCAGGCCAGGTGCGTGCCGGTCACCACGATGGGGACGACGGGCAGCCCCGTCTGCAGCGCGGCGTGCACGAACCCCTTCTTGAAGGGCAGCAGCCTGCCGTTCTTGGATCGTGTGCCCTCCGGGAACAAGATGAGGGACAGGTTGTTCTTGACCACCGCTCGGGCGACCTGGGGAGAACACGGCACGTGCGGGATCACAACACACGAGACAAGAATGCAGCGGAGAATGGAGATGACAGACACTACTACCAAAGCGGCCTACATACCTGTTTCATGGAATGGATTGCAGCGGCAGGGTTGGAGCGGTCGATGCGCAGGTGGTTAGCCAGCACGTAGAGCTGCCCGAACAGCGGGTACCAGATGATCTATGTGACAGGCAGGCAGGCAGCTAGGCACGTCATTTCAGCGAGGGAGAGCTGTGTTGTTTAGTGGCACGCTAGCTGCCTGTGTGTGTGTATGTTGTGTCCTGACCTCCTTCTTGGCGATTCCGACGGTACCATGACGAGGAAGATGTCCAGCGGCGACGCGTGGTTGCAGATGAAGATGCCCCTCGTGTTGAGGTGCTCGGCGCCTTCCACTTTGATTGGGTTCCCCCAGGATCCACAGCTGCAAAACTCGCAAGTCAAAAGATGTGCTACAACTTGCTTACGTAAAAAAAATGTGCTAGAAAATATTTGTCACGTTTGGAACGCACGGACTTTCTTTTTATAATTTACTACAGGTATTTAATGATAGACACTACTTTTAACCGTATCTAGACACTGGTCTGTACTTTGGCTGAAACTGGCTGAAAAATACTATTCCGACTGAATTGTTGTGAGAGAAAAACACTGTTCCGGCTGAAAAAATAAGCCGAACAAGCCAAATTTAAGACAAGCGAACGAGGCCTATAGATCTAAAGTAATATAGTTTTCAAGAGCGTAGGGGGGAGAGAAATTAAGTGAGCATTATACTCCCTATTATTCTAAATTCTCCCTAACCCATAATAGTTATCTAAAAGATAGTAATAACTTCTACATGTTTATTATTTTTTCAGTTGTGTTAACCTTGATCCTTGTGATTGCAATATTGTCTATCATCTTAGATATATCAATCAAACTGCCACGCAGCCAGGGAGGGCGCGACGCCTCCACGGAGGGGAAGCCAGGGAGGGCGGACGGGAGGAGGAGCGACCCGGCGGTTGCATGGCTCGCCGGCGCGGCTTGTGGCGGCCACCTGGCGTACCGCTGAACTAGAGTGGAGCAGGAGCTGAGGACATGTGTTTGTTTGTTTTTGGTTTAATCACCTAAGGCATGTTAGGGTTAGTAGAAGAAAATATGTACCCTTGTTTGGCACATGTTCTCACATGTCATTTTATGTGCTCGTTGTTTGCTTCAATTATCTAAGGCATATTAGGTTTAGTCCAAGACCTATGTACCCTAGTTTGGTACATGTTATTACATGCCATTTCATATGTTGTGTATGTTGAATTAGGTAATCCACTACTTCGTTACGTTTTATTTGCACTACGTGAGCTCGTTTCACTACCTATGCAATATTAAACTCAATATTATGACAACAAATAATGAAACCAACAACACTATGAAAGGTCCAATAATAAAGCACATTAATCAACATAACAACATTTGAAGTACATGACGACAAACTAAAAGTGCATTACTTAACAACACAATGCAAAGTCCAAGATTAGACAACATTGTTCGTGAATATACCATAGAACTAGCAAGTTATGAAGACTACTGAGTGCAACGAGACCACTTTCTCTTCCTCTGGGCATCGGGATTCTCCTCCATCGCTGTCTTCGCTCGCTACGCACGCTCAAGCTTCCTCTCCGTCTCCTCCCTGTGCGAAGCAACACGCTTCATTTCCTCCTCTTCCTTGTGCTCCTTTTCTAAAGCCTCCTCTCCGCGTCTCTTCTCCATCATCTTCTTGTCCTCTGTCTCCCACTGTAACAGTTTCTGCATCTACTCCTTGTCTTTCGGCTTGATCTTAGTGTCGATCCACTGCTCAAAATCACAGAGCGGTGGAGGGGTCTGCAACAAATGCAATTGTTACAAAACAAATAAATCATGCAAGACTTCATTTGACACAAAATAAATATTAAACAACATCAATTTCTCACCATCTTGTTAATGCGGCGCTGACGAAGTGTAGGCTCAAACGCAAAATTGGCACACATCCAATACCTCTGCCTATACGTGTCCTCTTCATCAGACTTGGCTACCTTGCAAGGATCGCCGCAAAAGCACATGGGCACTGGAACACCACTAGGCAGAGGCAACGGGTCAAAGGCATTTCCGGTCATCCGGCCATAACTACAGTTGAACCAAATTTGTTCTAAGAATCGAAAGCAATGAACATTAAACCCTAAACCTAGGGTTTTTCTATTTGTTGCACATAAATGAAAACATAATATAACACGATGATAATATATTATCTTGGCTTACTAGCTTTACCACGCCTTGCATCCTACCGTTACATAATACAAAAAATAAAAAATCACTTCAAACATTAGGTACTAATGTATCTAGGGTTGCAAAATAGACATAATATATACCAAATCAATGCGTAAAATTTGATAAAGGGAGAGAGGATACCTTGCCCGCGAAGATGTATGGATCAAATCTAAGTATCCAAGGTTAAATTCGTCGATTCAAGAGATTGGGCGGGTTAGGGAGAGGAAGAAACTGAGAGGGAGGAGGAAGAAATGAGAGCAGCCTCGGCAAGAGAAACTTGGCTACGGGTTTTGAATCCATGCTCAGCGCCAGAATACATGGCGCCGAGCTCGGTGCCGAGGTACCGGCCACGTGAACACCACCTAGGATGCCCTGCTGTGCACGGCCAGGCACATCGGAACCAAGATCTGTGGCGCCGAGACGTGTTACCCCGGCGCCATGAGTCCTGACGCCGACCCCCAGGGTCCATAGATGAGTTTAAGTCTCCCAGGGGGCAAACGTAAATTTTCTTCAAAAAGGGGCTAAATTATAAAAAAAAATTGGACACGCATGACGCATCGTCCAGACTCTAGAGCAAACACGCTACCACCGCCCTACCCTCACCCCTTGTGTCTCTGCCACGTTGGGCCCGCAGGTCAGGCTCTGTTCCCCTCAGTCCCCTCCGGCCTGTTTGCTTCTCTTATAATCCGGTTTTTTTCAGCTTGTTTTTTCAGCCAGAACAGTGTTTTTCTCTCACAACAAATCAGCCGGAACAGTGTTTCGGCTTGTTTTTTCAGCGAAGCGAACGGGGCCTCCGTTGTCCGTTGCAGAGTTGTCGAGCTGAGAGCTCCCCAGCTCCGAACTGGATCTCGCCGCCCGACCTGGATCAGGTGCAGTTAGAACTGCTACTGCAAGTTATGCAGTAGCTGCATCTGACCCATTCAAGAGGCTATGAATGGCCAGGATCAGCCATTTTTTCCCTCCTTCCCTCCCCAAGTGCTGCTATAGCATCTGTTTCTTTAGGAGAAATTACAAATAACAGAGAAGAGAATACATACATCTTATAATGCAATTAAATGGAGCAAAGCTACATGTGTCTGCTGCAATTTGAGAGCTTAATACAAAAGCTTGCATATACAAAAGACATATGCCAAACTGAGATCCTTTTCTATATACCAAGGTTCTCTATTTCTAATTTCATATACAAAAGCTTCCATCAACCAGCAGCAGCCTTGCATCCACAAAGAGAATATGCTTAACACAAAAGAGAGTATGATAATGAGGATCCTTTTGCACATAAGAAGGTCTTCACCATTTCATATACAAAAACCTGTATCATCCAATATTAGTCATGCCTTCGGTAAGCCTACAAACAAAATAATTTAGAGATTATAATTTATCAAGTCAATTCAGCATATATAATTGACCTATACTTACACTAAAGTTTTGCTAAAATTCCTAGCCATCTAACCCTTCCAAGGAGTAAGGATTACTGACATCTTGAACAACATTTGAACTCTGAAAACAAAGAGGAATACAGAGACCAAAATAAAGACAGAGAAAATAGAGAGAGAAAATATGAAGTTACTCTCAAAACACAGAATGTTATTTTTATGGAAAAAGAAAACCGTAAGCATACCATAAGAATTTGGGTAAAACTAGAAATTGATTCATATGCTTGCAATTCTGGAACATGACTTCCATCTTTCTTGTTGCATAGGTTTGCTTGTATTCTTCTTGTTCCCTTTGTTTTTCTTTTTCTTCAGAAAATTTTCAGTCCAAGATTTCTTTCGTTTTGATCCACCTTTTTGCTTTTCTTTCTTCTTTAGACCAGCCACTTGTGTATATTGTTCAGAATGTTTCTTGAACACTAGAGTTTTCAGCATTAATGTTAGAAGTTCCTTTGATTTTTTCTTCAACCTGCTTACTAGCAGTGTGAAGTGTCTCTTCCACAAGCAAATAGCGGTCCTCCAAATCAGCAGCTCGTGTAGCCAATGGAATGAATGTTTTGCAAAGATTTTTGTACCGAAGTGTAGCATCTAACTTAGGATTTTCCACTATTTCCCTCCCATTCATATCTTGGATAATACCTGACCTTGCGTCTCGAGTCCATCGTTTCAAAATGTATCGTTCAGGCAAATGCTTAATGTTCACCAAATCGAGACCTTTCAATGCCTGCCTGCATAATATACCAATTCTCTCAAAGAGTCGACAACTACATGTGACCATCTGATCAGCTGGGTTGACTATAACCTTGCGCTCTTCTTCATTTGTCAATGTCCCTATAGGAGCTCCAATTGCAATGACAAATTCATTACTTCCATTTGAGCTTACTGTATAGGCAGCCAAGTACTTTTCATATTCAGCTTGAAAGACTTCAAATATTGAAGGTGTATAAATCATACTTGCTTGTATCAATATAGGTGCCATCATCCCAATCCTTGGTTGCTTCTTTCTGGATTCCAATTCAGCTTGTAACTCCTTATCTCTCTTGTCTTGAACAACATGTTCCACACGCTTTAGGAACCTAATAATATCAAGATCTGATTTCAAATGGCCTTTCAATGCATTATTCAAGCTCTCGCTTAGTTGTGTACTTCGCATTCCTAGTGAAAAAAACCCCAGCATGTAGCACTCAGCCCACATATGTTTCAGCATGTAAATGCTATCCAGCCAAGTTGATTTTCTAACTTTTCCTCTCATAGCTGCAAATGCTTCTTCAAAATCTACCTCTTGTTCATACTCATACATGCAAGAACTGAAATCTGCTAGGATAGTTGACTCTTCCTCATCCTCAGACTCGTCTTCATTCTGCGAACTCAAGTGCTTCAATGCATTTTGTGATATATGCCAAGTACATAAACCATGCCATGCACCAGTGAAGACTGCAACCACTGCCTTTCCCATAGCAATGTCCTTATCAGTGAAAATGGTTTGAGGTTGCTTTTGATTATGTGTTGCTAAAAATGCATTGAACAACCACTTGAACGACTCAATAGTCTCATCATACATCAAAGCTGCACCAAAAACCACGGTCTCTCTAAACTGGTTGAAACCTACGAACATACCAAATGGTCTATATTCTTTGTTGGTTCCAAAGGTAGTGTCAAATGCGATGACATCGCCAAAGTGAGCATAATCAACAATCATCTTTGCATCAGCCCAAAATATATTGGATATCTGCTCTTCACAGTCCATTTGTATTGCATATTGAAATGAGGGATTCTCCACAACTTTATCTTAAAAATATTTTAGCAAACTTCCAGCCTCACCATACAACATCTCTCTTTGATGTTTAGTACGCAGATAACACCATCGGAAACCGGCTCTTTGCCGAGTGTTTTTATGTTTGCCGAGTGCATTCCCTCGGGCACTCGGCAAACAAGCCCTTTGCCGAGTGCTGCGAAAAAAACACTCGGCAAAATAATTGCACTCGACAAACGATGCAAAAAACACTCTCCCTTATCTCTTCTCCTGCTCCACTCCCCTCCCTTTCTCTCTCTCCCTTATCTCTTCTAGAGAACACGCATATAGGGAAAGGAGAGGAGGCGTCGGCCTCCTAGGTTGGCTCAGGCGGGCCCGCACCCGCGCCCCAGTGCTCGCCAGCGGTGGTGGCCGGCCGGCGGCGGTCTTGTGGTCGGGGCCGGCGGTGGTGGCCCCAGTGCCCGCATCCACGCGTTGTTGTTCGTGTTCGCCGCGGGGGATGCCGACGCGCCCAGGCTCGGTCACCTCCACACCGTCTCGCTGCTCTCCTCCACCGCTGCCTTGCTCTCCCAGCTCGCCGCCGATGCGCGCCTCCTCGCCGCGCCCGCGTCGGGCCCCTCCTCCGCCGGCTCCGGTTCTGCCCTCGTCTCCTGGCTCCGCATGGGCTCCACGACCTCCTGCGCCGCCGCGCTGGAGGAGCTGGCGAGCACCGCGCCCGCGCTACCGACGCCCTCTGCGGCCACGGCCGTCTCCGCGGTGGTGGCGCTGCTCGACTCCGCCGCTGGCTACGGCGAGGACCTACGCGAGCATGCCGTCACTGCACTGGCCGCCCTGGCGTCCTCGGACGCCGCGCGGCCTTCCCTGGCGCAGGAGGCCGACGCTGTGGTGCCGCACCTGTGCCGCGCGCTCGAGTCCGGGTCCGGCGCGTCCGCCACGAAGCACGCGTGCACGGCGCTGCTCCCACTAACGGCGTCGTCACGGGACGCGTGCGCGGCCATGGCCGTGCGCGGCGGGGTGGCGGCGCTCCTGTCCACCTGCGCCGACCGCACCTCGGCGGCGCAGGCCGCGGCGACCGGGGTGCTCCACAACCTCGCAACGTTCCCAGACCTCCTCCCGGCGTTCCGCGATGAGGGCGGCACGGTGCGTGGTGGCGGCACAGTTCCAGGAAATGGGAAATGGGTGTGGTGGTGGCGGCGGCGGCGGCGGGGGAGCCGCGGGCTTGCGGCGGTGGGTTTTTTTATATTTTTCTAAAAGTCTTTGCCGAGTGTCAGTTTTAGCACTCGGGAAGCTCGACAAAAAACACTCGGCAAAGACAGCTTTGCCGAGTCTTTGTTTGCCGAGTGCCGTTTGCCGAGTGTAACACTCGGCAAATCTTTTGTCGAGTGTTTTTTAGGCTTTGCCGAGTGCCCTGGCCACTCGGCAAACCTACTGTTTCCGGTAGTGTAATTCTTATGATCACGATGGGTGTACCCGAGGTTAGCTGATCCACCAACATATCGACCAAGAAACTCAAGTGCCGCTTTAGGGGCAATACCGGAATTATCAGCCACCTCGATATCAATAGCTTGGTGCTTAGAAATGTTTCTCTGTGATGGCATCAGATGACTAGTTTGAGCAGTTTGGAGAATGTGGTTGTGCTGAATAAATAAGTCATGTACCTTGTAAGTCCTATTTTCTCTTTCAAAAGTAATGCCCATGCGAACTCTACAACCTGTTCTTGTATGAGCTCGATTACACTTGCTAACACTGCAGTTTTTATTTTCAGCCCAAGAACCCTGATTTGAACAAACAAACTTACTCGATGTTTCCAATCCATCAAGAGTACTCATGTTTGTGTAACATTTTCGAACATCAAAACCCATCCGGCCACCATATCTAACCCAAAAGTTCCAAGCTTCATCGATACTGCTAAATGTCATACCAATTTGTGGAATCCAAAAAGGAATTGCAGCAACTCTGCAGTTGTAAATAATACTCCCTCCGTCCTTCATTCAGAGGCGTATTGGCTTGGGAAAAGGTTTGTGAATTCACCGGCGCCTAAGCCGTTGGGTGCATCGGGAGCCAGCGCTCACGTCCTGTATTCTCGCGTGTAGTAACTGCGACGCCTCGCTTCCAGTATCAACTGCATGCATGCATGCAAGTTGCTCTCCCTTCCCAACTGCACTTCCTATTTTATCCCTCCCGCTTGCGTACTCAGCCACGAAAGAGAAGCACCGGCCATGGACGCGGAAACCTCACCGCCACCTCATTGGAAAAGGGTTCGCCACCTCGCCAAGCAAAGGGTTCGCCACCTCGTGGGCAAAGGACGCAGCTTGCTTAGCCGGCAAAAAGGGTGCGGCCGCCTCGGCAGCAAAAGCGCGCGGTCGCTTCAGCGGTGCTCATTCGTGGTCTCAATCGGGCGCCGGACTCGAGGACGAGAGCGAGCTCGTTACCATAGATCGTGAGGAGGGCGAATCCGTCATGCGGCATCGAGGATTCCATGCTCTCGGCTGTGGTCTCATACACGCGTGAGTATGAGATCACATCATGGATCTATGGCTTCAACGAGTTTGACTGCAAGGTACTTTTCCCTAACATCGACGATCTAAAGATGGATGGCGATATCAGATTGCTCCCTGCACACATATGGATGGCCGAGAGTGATGCTTGATATTCAAGATTCAACCAAAGGTAGGCGAACAAAGAAGAGTAGTTGTTTTTGATTCAATGTAACCGAGCAAAGCAGAGTAAGAGAGTGCATGTAACGCTGATGCTACCTAGAAGTGCTTATGTCTATCTATTTCTTCATGCATTCATTTCAAAAGTCCTCTAAACATGCATCGTCTAAACATCATGACTAGCTTAAGATTAACGGAAAGAAGTAAACAGACGCTACCCATGCAAAAGATACTCTAAACATCATGGCAAAAGAAGCAAGTTTAACCAACGAATCCTAATGCTTGATTGTAAATTTCCATCGGACACTCATAGCTAATTGGAAGGTTGCTGTCATCTCCAAGTGCTTCTTCTTCATGTGCGGGATGTTGTAATAGTGTCCTCCATTTTGCTTCATGATCTCCATCATGCAACTCTCATGTTGTGTTAGGAAAATCCGATTGGACCTATCCACAGGGTACTCGTGAAATGCCTTGTCAACCTTTTCCACAATTTTTTCGATGTTGTTTGGAGTTCCCTTGTAAAACAACGCTTGAATTGCTGCAAAGAAACCAAGGTCCAACACATTAAGATCGGGTGAGTTTGGTGGTCGGCATGTTAGCCGTATGTCCCACCCATCTGCTTGGGCTGCTTTCTACAAATCTTTGGATCATTTACAAAGAACGTGAGTCCTGGCATTGTCTGCCGGATGAATATTGGCATTCCTCTTTCTTGGTGGCCATTTTTCTTTTATTGCAGGGAGGACTTTGTTGATAAGGAATTGCCGGCTAATTTCCTTAGTAATGTACGTCATGGCCTTTGTTACCATGACACCTACAAAAGCATATACCCTTTGCTAGCCAAATTAAGTAAAAAAGAGAAAATTAAATAGAAAAGGGAAAATTTTAAGTACATATGCATGTCATACCTCTATCTCTATTGGGGCTCCATCTCTTTGCAGGCTCTACGTAGACAAAGGGCAAATTGCCAATTTTCCCATCAAAGGTGCATACACCATGCTCATCAAATCTAGGCCGAGCAACCACAGTAAGAACCATGACCTTTTCAATGAAGTTTTTGCTTTTAACCGCTCTTTGTGGTCTTTCTTCATCATTGGCGAGATAGTACTTTTGGTTACGCCTAGTCCTATAGAACCACTTCTCATTGATGTACACGATGTTGTACATTGGTTTGAACGTGGGAGCATTTGGAATGTTGTTTGTGAGCATGGACAAGCAGTACTTAACTCGTGCCTTCTTGTTTTCATCTGTTAAACTAAACTTGAGGTCATTTGTGTGCCGACGGAAATAACCCTCCCTAAAACGACTATGAAGTGCGCTTTTAGACACACCGAGCGCATTGGCTAGATCACAGATTGTTGTGCGCTCTTTCAAAGGCACGTTTTTTATGGCTTCCATGTCTATCTCAATTCGTTTGCGACCACAATTCCTAACCAACTTATTTTTAACACCATGTATCCCACCAGCAAGTTGTCCTTCTCGCCATATCCTCTGCACTACTCTACGAGTCACACTGTATTTCTATGCAACTTCCTTACTCACTCCACGCTGTAGTATAGGTGGTTTTGTTTTGGCTAACAAATCACAATATATAGCCATCTTAATGTCATCGGTGTAGAACTTCCTCTGTCTCCCACCAGAAGTTGCAAAGATAAATCGAATTTAAAACAAAGAACATGGTAGTACAACGTGAAAGTATAATATGGTCATGCTCATGCTCATGCAACGTGCATGAAAGCAATGTGCTACAGTACCATGCAACAAAGAAGCTAACAGATGCTGATGATAGAAATGCTAGCTTACCCTCTCCAGTGTTATTGTTTCCTCCATGATCCAAAGCATTGCTCGCGGCATCGACTTGCTGGGCACCATGGTCACTGGCATCACCATGCTGGGCGCCATGGTCGTCGGCATCTCCTTGCTGGGTGCCATGGTCGTCGGCATCTCCTTGCTGGGAGCCATGGTCGTCGGCATCGTCGTCATGATCTCCAACTAGAAAAGCAGAGGGAAAAACAAGTCAGCGGAATCATATTTGGCACAAAACAAACTGAATCTTTGAAAACTAGCGGCACCATTATTTCCATCATCCCACACAAAGTTGTAGCCGAGAGCATGTGCAGGCCCTTCCCACTCGCCGATGGCTTCCCAGTCAATTGGATTGTCCCAATCTGGGGGCGCCTCTTGGTTGAGATCAAAGCCTAATGGCGCCATGGATTGGAGAGGTAGGGAGAGGAGAATTGACGAGAGAGAGCTGATTAGAACAGGTTGCAGGAGAGGGTATATATAGAACTGTGGAGGCTTCATAGGCGCGGCAACTGTGAAAATTTTAAACACTCTGAAACCTTAAGCGGGAGATTTGATTTCTTATGCATGGAGGTAATTTTCAACAGCAAAACTGAAACTCAAAACGCGGCAATTTTCAACTTCAAAACTAAAACTAAAAACGCGGGAGCGGACGAGCGCGGTCGCGGGCGTTCCGGCGTTGCGCGAGCGTTGAATGCTTTTGCATGCAGCCATGCAGGGAGTTACGGTCAGCGTGGGATACGAAGGGATTTTGCGGTGTTTGCGGCTGGAGGTTACGGCAATTAAGTTCTCCTTGGTCTTGGTGAAAAATGCTACTACGCCTCTGAATGAAGGACGGAGGGAGTACATTCAGAACATGACCAACCAGATTTGCTCATCATTTGTAGTAGAACTTCAACCATGCAGAAACTAATAACTAAGTAGGAGTAAAGCACAATCCTTCCAGGCGATTCCTCGAGCAGCTGCTGGGCGTCATCCATGGCAACAACATCAATAGCTTCTTGGGCACTTGCCTGCGTGGTTGGTGCTGCTGGAGATCGTGCAGGAGCTCGGGGAGGCTGCACAGTGCCGGCTTTCTTCCTCACACGCGTCTTTTTCGGCACCGGCGCAGACACCTTGCTGCCTCCACCATTGACGAAATGAGAGTGCGGGAGGACAGCAGCTCCAGAATGCGCAGGTAGGCCCGTCTTAAAGGTACGTGCAGGGGGTGCGACGGCCGGGGGCCCATGGCGTTGGGGGCCCATGAGTATACCCCTCTATACTACAGGTATACAGGCTTTCTGAGTCCATTTGCTGGTGCGCTCGATCGCTTCGTATGACGGCGACCCTTCCTATTCGCGAGCGACCCTTCCGATTTGGCGATTTGTGATCAGAGTCGCGACTTCCTTTGCGTTGACGGCGACGGCGTTCTTCGCGGGAATCACGGCGGATTGAGGGCGGCGGCCGGCGGGCACGGTGACCTCGTCCGCTCGTCGCCAGGGCCGTGTTGTACTGTTGTGCTGCTGCTGCAGTCCTTCACGGCTTCACGTCACTACGTCAGCAGGTATACGATAATACTATAATAGCATACTAATATACGATCAGGATCAGCACGTTCGGGTATGGGCGTCTGGCCTCCATCTCCATCCTCTAGCCTCCCTGTCCCTGATCACTTTTTTTTTCAATTCAGTTCGTCAGTTCGGCACTAGGCACTCCGGCCGTGACTCCGTGACTCTGTGGCCAGCACCTAGCAGTAAGTGATTGCATTTACCAATTTGCAGTTCTAGTTCAGTTATCAGTCGTAGGGATCTAATTTCTAAATTCTAATTGAAATATATTTTTTGTAAATGATAGATGATTTTTTCTCATGACAACAAGTCTGATGTTGAGTTAGATGATTTTTTCTCTGAATTGAAAGTGATGCAAGTTACTTTGCCAGATAAATTAATGTCAGCACTTGAGATTCTTCACTTTGTTAAAGATTTAGATTGCTATCCAAATGTCTCTATTGCATATCGGATTCTCTTAATTGTTCCTGTGACAGTAGCATCAGCCGAAAGAAGCTTCTCTAAATTAAAGCTATTAAAAAATTGTTTGAGATCAACTATGCTACCAGAAAGATTAAATGGCTTGGCTATGTGCAGCATTGAGAAGGATATTTTGGATAAAATTGAACTCGATATTGTTATTGAAGATTTTACATCAAGAAATGCCCGAAGGCGGTTTTTTAAAAAGCACTAAAACACTACATTTTAGGTAACCATAATAGTTATCTTACGGCTCTTTTAGCTTCTTCGATTTGATGTAATGTCATTTTTTATTGAACTAAATATATGCTGCAAGTTATCTTTTATTAATAATACTATGTATTTTAGTATTTGAATTGTCATATTAAAATATTAGATTGCCGGGCCCTCTGTGCCTTGCACGAGGGCCCTCAAAATTATTGAGACGGCCCTGCGCGCAGGGGCGGCAGAGATGACGGTGCCTTGATGCTTAGCGGGAAGAGGCATTGGGGCAACGGATGGAGGAGCAGGCGAGGCAGGCCCGACGAGGCGCACGCATGGCGGAGGCGGTCCCGGAGCTTCCATGGCGATGCAGCTCTCCGGCCTCCCTCGCCATGGGCGCAGCTCCGCTCCGAGCAAAGTGAAAAATGGCGCCAAACTTCTAGTGTTTCCCTCCAAACGAACAGAGGAGGCGGAGGGGACTTGTAAAATGAGGCACGAATGAACATGAGGTGCTTTGCCCTTGGATTCGATATGGACGACCAAGATTGTGAGACTGCTAAAGTTGCAGTCTCTATAGCAACTGCACCGGATCCAGGTCCCTCGCCGCCACGGGTATCCATCGCGCGCACAAAGCCTCTGTAATAGATTTTTTAAAAAATAATATTTTTTTAAATGAATAATTACAAATATAACATCTGAATTGTAAGAATGGCAGACAGGACTGGACCCCAATCAGGCCCACTGGCCAGATAGCCGGATAGGGTCCTATCGGCCATCCGTGAGCCGACAGGACACAAAATATCTACACTGCACGCACCCCACGCTAACACTTCACAATGACTGGAGCATTGCACACAATACGCAGCATGCTCGGTTTCAGGTTGAGCCTGACCACAAACAGCACAACAGCCAGTTCAGAATTTGAAATCCCTTGCGACTGCGATCCCCGCAAGTCCTGCAAGGCAGCTCATTTGAGCTGAGCAAACTAGCTCTTCACAGGCAGAAACATTCAGAGGCCTCAAACTCAAAGGATCAATAAGATGCTGCCGAAACAAATTTAGGATATAAAATAGCAGCTATTGTACTTGAGGACCAAAATGTACACCATGGAAAAGCTACCAAAGTCCAAATACAACATGAGACGAACTGGCACTGATATGGTGTGCCAATTCACTGTCGATGGCCAAACGTTTCATTACAGACATACCACAGAATTATTAGCCGATGAATGCCACGAGCGTGCAATAATGGTTTATAGTACATCCAGTGGGAGTATACCAGCCTTTTGCATATGGATCCTTGGCACCAAAAAACAGAATACAGTAAGAGCAAAAAAATATTTACAAACACACGATAGAACCATATACTACTGATGTATGCGTGTGCCTCCTGATATAAAAATATAAAAGGAAAACCGAGAGATATTGAGGCTTATTATGTATTCATATGGTCCTATCAACAAATCGGCTGTCAAGTGAAGCACGTGAGGTGAAAAACTAGCTAAAGAATCCTGCCCAATGTGAAGCTGGGCAGGCAGTCACCGCTTCCTTTTTGCCCTACTCGTGCCTCGTTTGGCCACAGTTTCGGTTTTCACTTTAGCAGCACCACGTTTGGTTCCAGATGAACCTTTCTTCTTGTACCTACCGAATCCCCTGCCACTTTCCTGTAAGGCACATTGAGACGTGTTACCAGTAAGCAGTGAAAGAAACATGAGTTCTGTCAAAGACCATCAGTCCTGTCATCTATTTTTATACTCTCAAAGACCATCAGTTCTATCATCAATTTTTATACTCTCAAAGACCATCAGTTTCTGTCATCATCAATTTTTAAAAGATCCTAAGAAAGTTAGGTTGAGGTAGGTCATACAGTGCTAGCTACAAATGATGGATACAATCATGCCAAGTGCATTCTTAATAATTCAAATCCCTAATCGAACACATCATTGCAGGTAACATAAACATAATTGTAAGCATGGGATATTTAAATTTCAGTAAGTCCATTACCTAGGACCAGTTTGTCAACATGAATAAAAGCACAAATCACAGGAAAAGATAAGCATCACAATACCTTTCGATATTGTCGATAGGCATTGCGGCCAGTCAACTCTTGCCCATTTTTTGAGACATAAACCTGTAGCACAAGTACAACGAAGCAAAACTATGATTGAATACGTTTTCTTCAAGAAGGGGGTAAACGAATAATCCCTACTGAAGAAGCACAAAATGACCAAACAATTTCTATTATCTAAAGGTTTTAAAAACAAGTGAACTAAAACTTTGGAAGTATAGCCATACCTTCCTCCCACTGTCATCAGTAAACCAATGGCCAGAGCCCGAATGGGATCCACTGGCATGCACCCTTCTTTTGCTAGCATCAGTTGGAACTGAGATTCTCCCAGGAGTCACCCAGTCATCGTTAGCAGCTGCACTTGAACTGAACCTCCTGCATTGAGATAATGAAAGAGTTTGAACGAATTAGCAAATGGCATTATGGAATGATTAAAAAGCAATGACCATGATGTGCACCTTCTGAGACTTTCTGCTCTGTTTTGCTCATTTCCTCTGGTACTTCCTGCCCCAATGGGAACAAAATGTTGCAGCCTGTTCCGGAATAAATTACCCACCCTTGGGTCAGGGTGGAACAGATAATGCATAGCAGGAGGACCATCATCTAGTTCAGCTCCACTTGAAGGCATTTGTTGCTGGAAATGCCCAGAGTTCTTAGGTTGAGAAGTGTTGCCTTCTTTCTGCTGAGAAAACCCTGCATCTTTTGGAGATTTGAAGTATTCATTGCAGAACTCGTCCAAGGCAGGTGTTGCCCAATTGTCATTCATCGTAGCTGCACTCTTCAGCACAGTACTTCTCCCTTGGGGCTTCGTGTTTTGCTGCAGAGTCTTTGCTTTATTTTGATTGTGGTCATCGTCTGCATCAGTGTCAGAATCAAGCAAATAGATTTTCCTCATCGGGCTTACTGTTATCTTAGGAAGTAGTTTCTTTGTGCAGCTTTCTTCCAAAGATATTGAAGCAGAAGTATTTGGTGTTTGTGTAAATTTTGATCTATTTGCTTTGGTTGCTGACTGAGTCATAAGGACACCATGATTAAGCAGAGAGAATTTTGAGTTGCTGGAAGTGCTGCAACTACCAACAGATGGTGGCACATCTGCAAGTAAAGATGAAAACCCAATGATGTTCTACACACAAAAATCAAAATGTCCTTAAAGATTGTAACAAAACAACCAGCTACAGACTAAGTCCACAATAGACCAGTCATGGGAATTTTTGCAGAAGACAAAATAACAAGGATACATAGGCAAGAGAAAATTGGGATTTTGGCATTATCAAACGTGAGCTTCGCTCGTTTGCCATCTAGCAAAAGGGATTCGCTACTTGACATTATCAAACTTGGCACACCCGGTAGAATGCCCTGGGACTGAATTATTCCAAATTTTAATTATTCTTTTATTCTCTCCATACTTTCATTCCCGTTTTACCAACACATCAGGACTAGCTTCAACAATTGACTTGAAAGAGACTAGGCACGATTAGTGTAGATGTGGTGCTAATCTAACTATGCCACATTTTTTCTCTACTGGGCTCGATGGAGAGCCTGAGCTTAGCTTAGCAGTGGTAGAACCTCCTGCACAGCAGCTGCACCCCTTGTTGATTGGGATACGCTGCGCATTGAAGAAAGTCAAGATGAAGAGGGAATAATAGAGATTGTTGATGATGAGGTGATGATATGAATTGTTGGGGTTTAGGGCTGAGGATGAGGAGGCTGATAAGGCAAGGGAGGCAGCCAAGAAAGGTTGTGCTGAACAGAATGGCAATACTTGGGAAGTTGATACAACTGGGGCAGACATTGTTGTTGATGACTATTTACCAGGGGAGAGGACTGTGGTTCATGACCCAAATCACCCTAGTATGGATCTTGGCACAGTGTACCCTAACATGAAGGAGTTTAGATTGGCTGAGACAGTCTGCTATAAATGAAGAGTTTGAACTACACATTGTCAAAACAGACCCATCTAGATACATTGCTGATTGCAAAGCAGAAGATTGTCCTTGGCATCTTGTTGGGCGTAGGCAGCCTGATGGGAGCACCGTAATGGTACTAACTTGGATTTTGTGCTCCGTTATTTTTTTCCTTCAATAACTTGAGCCTACCAACGTATTTTGTCCTTCGATATTGTTCGCATTCACTAATTATTTTTTTCTGCAGGTGACAAAGGTTATTGCCTTATCGGTGATCACACATGTACATCAAGTGCTAGGAGGAAGACTACCACACCAACCAGTGCCTGGGTTGTTACAAAGGCAATACGTCACCTTAGAAAGAAAACAACTATGAGCACTAAGGAACTGCAAACCACTTTACAGGATGAGCAGAAGTGTCAAATTCGTTATGACACTGTTTGGAAGGGTAGGAAAATTGCTTTGAGAGAATTGTATGGCAAATGGGAAGAGAGCTTTCAGCTGCTATTCAATTGGAGGGCAGAGGTCCTCAAGAGGTCACCAGGTAGTGTTATTGAGATTGGCATTAAGGAGGTAGAGGGCAAGTTCGATTTCCATAGATTTTTTTTTTTGTGCACTAAAACCTTGCATTGAAGGTTTCTTAGAGGGATGCAGGCCATACCTTAGCATAGACTCTACTGCACTCAATGGTAGATGGAATGGTCATTTAGCTGCAGCTTGTGGTATAGATGGTCACAACTGGATGTACCCAGTTGCTTTTGGCTTCATAGATGGTGAAACAACAGATAACTGGACTTGGTCTATGACTCAGTTGCATAAGGCCATAGGACATCTTCCTGTTTTAGCTGTTTCCTCAGATGCATGCAAAGGTCTGGAAAATGCAGTTAAGAAAGTGTTTCCAATGGCTGAACATAGGGAGTGCTTTAGACATCTAATGGATAACTTCATTAAAAAGTTTGGTGGTGATGTGTTCTCTAAGATGTATCCTGCAGCTAGAGCTTATAGACAAGAAGTTTTCTAGTATTTTTTCAAGTCAATTGTTGAAGCTAGTCCTGATGTGTTGGTAAAACCGGAATGAAAGTATGGAGAGAATAAAAGAATAATTAAAATTTGGAATAATTCAGTCCCAGCGCATTCTAGCGGGTGTGCCAAGTTTGATAATGGCAAAGTAGCGAATCTCTTTTGCGGGATGGCAAACGAGCGAAGCCCACGTTTGATAATTGCAAAATCCCAATTTTCTCCATAGGCAAACCGCATGACTGAATGCAGTGTTATAAGCACAACAAGAGAAATGAATACAAAATATTAAGAGTTGAAATAAGCATACCGCTCAGGCACTCACCTCGAACTGGTCGGTCCTCGTCTGTTGTCCAATCCTCGATCTCGTCTTCCCAACTCCCAACCGCCGCTCTTGCTGCATTTTCACTCATTACTGGAGAGGCTTCCACCGTGGGTTGTCCTGGCACTTTCAGAGGAGGCGGTGATGGCGCCAGATGTGGTGACGCAGGGCCCTTCCGCAGCCTCTTGAGTTGAGTCACTTCAGGCAGTGTTGGCTCTGGCTGTCGGTCACCAGCGAGGAAGAAGTCGCCGTCCTCATCTTCGATACTGAGCAACGAGGGGACCTGAGGTGCGGCCTGTGTCTTCGGTTGCTCGTGGTGCTGGCCGCCAGCTAGGGAGTTGTCGTCGTCGTCGTCGCTGATTATAAGGGAGGAAGACGGCGCCTCACAGTGCAGCACCTGGGGAGTTGGCGCCGGATGGGCTAGAGCAGGTCCCCTCCGCAGCCGCTTGAACCGATTGGTCTCCGCCGGCGGTGGCAGGGGATCCGTGTCTATCGTGTCGTGATCCACCCGGACCGGCCGCTTGCCACCAGCGAGGACGAAGTCATCCTCCTTATCATCGTCATCTTCAGTGCCGGTCGAAGAGGGAGCTCCGAGCACCGCCTGCGGCCGCGCCTGCTCGCGGCGCTGGTCGGCAGCGAGGATGTCACCGTAGCTGTCTTCGTCATCGAAGCCCAGTGAGAACGACGGCGGATCGGGCGCCGCGAACCGATTGGTCTCCGGCCGCGGCGGCGGCAGGGGATCTGGGTCTAGCCTGTGACGCTCCACTCGGACCGGCCGCCTGCCACCGGCGAGGACGAAGCCATCCTCCTTATCATCATCATCTGCAGCGCCGGTCGAAGAGGGAGCTCCGGGCGCCACCGGGGGCCGGGCCTGCTCGCGGCGCTGGTCCGCAGCGAGTATGTCACCATCGCCGTCTTCGTCGTCGAAGCCCAGCGAGAACGACGGCGGATCGGGCGCCGTGTACCCCCGAGCGTGCTCCTTCTGGCGGCCACCCGCCCGAATGCGGGGCTCCTCCACGACGTCGTCGTCGAAGCCCAGCGAGAACGACGGCGGGTCGGGCGCCGTGTACCCCCGGGCGTGCTCCTTCCGGCGGCCACCCGCCCGAATGCGGGGCTCGTCCACGACGTCGTCGTCGAAGCCCAGCGAGAACGACGGCGGATCGGGCGCCGTGGACCCCCGCGCGTGCCCCTTCTGGCGGTCGCCCGCCCGAATGCGGGGCTCCTCCACGACGACGTCGTCGATCCCTAACGAGAACGACGGCGGGTCGGGGGCCTCGTACCCGCGCGGCTGCTCGCGCCGGTCGCTCCCGGCCGGGGGGTCATCGTCGTCGTCCCAGTCGAAACCCAGCGAGAATGAGGGAGCCGAGAAGTCCATCCCGGCGGCGGCGTGGGAGCTAGGTTTCGCTCGGCTGCGGCTGGGCAACGGGGTCGCGGATTTGGGGGAAATGGGGATCGGAATGGGCGGGAGATTGGCGGGAGAGCTATGGTTTTGTAAATTTTGTGGAGGGAATCGGGAGGTTTCGAATGGATTTTGACGGGGTTGGATTTGGGCCCGGGGCCGGTGAGGTGAGGGTGAGGTGGTGCGGCGCCGCGGCTCCGGCGAGACGAAAGGGGATGCGATGCGGCCAAGCGGGTCGCGTCGCGTGCTGGCTGGCGTCTGGCGTGCGGCAGAAAACGGCGAGACGACCGCGCGCGAACACCTCGTGAATGGGCTAAATTTGGCCCATTTGCTATCTCAATGCAAGTATAGCCGAAACGAGGTTTTGGGCCAACATTTACCGAAATCTTATAGTTACGGGCTGATTGGCTTATTGAGTTCTTTCCTTTTTCTTTTCTTGGATTGCTATTTTTTTTTTTGGGGAAACTGTTGTTTTCATATAGAAACATATTATAGGTTAGTAGTTGCGCCCAAACTGCCAATCCAAACTTGTTCAGTTCTCTAAAGTTATGTTGTACTGTTCTATACAGTCAGTCGTCTCACCCTCTAGAGTTGTTTTTTTAGCTTTTTACCTAAATGGCCCTGAAAAAAATACCTCTTTCTTTCATGGCTCTTTTTTTTAGAGGTTAGCTCAATCTTACATTGTATTCCCTTCATCTCAAAATAAGTGTCATTCTCGTTTCATAAGGAGTCAAATATTTTAACTTTGACCAAATATATAAAAGAAAATTTAATATTCATAGTACATAATTAATATCACTAGATAGATCATTGAATCTATTTTTATATGATAAACTTATTTGAAGATACAAATGTTGATAATATTTTTTTTATAAATCTAGTTAGACTTAAGAAAAATTTGACTAGCACGAATATCATAGCGACACTTAATTTTGAACGGAGGGTATATATGACTAAATTCAAGAACTATACTGTCAAGAACTGCATGCATTAGGCACAAAATACGTAGCCGAGAGATTTCTAGGCCATGTGCATGTCTACATCGATGTTGTGCGACCTAAGATGCAAGTTGTCGCTCTAATTTTTCAATACTAATTTAACAGTATTTTTCAGCGAAAAAACAATATTTTTCTCGTAATAAATCAGCATCAACATTAGTATCAGCATAAACCAAATTTCAGCGAAACGAATATGGCCTGCATGGACTTGCCACAGAACTTTGTGCATGTGGTGTAGGTAGAATCCTTTACCGTTCACACAATAGATGGACTGCAAAAACCGAGTGGCATAGGTCGAGAGGGCTTGTCATCGAGGGCGGTGATTTCAATCACAAGGGACTAGTGATAACAATAGGCAAAGTTTGTGACATGAATCGATTTTATTTTAACGAGGTAGGCTATGTGGCAGAACCGTCCGAAATAACACGTTTTTGGAGGCGTTCATCTTTCACTAGACAATAAGCACCTCGAAAGTGAGCTACATCGGACAGTTCCGTTGAGCACACCCCAGGGGAAGAACTCGAAACAATCCACGTTTTACATCCAGAATCCAATAATGAATACGAGCTTACAATGCTTAGTTCATTTTATACGACAAGAGTTCTTGAAAATTATTTATTATAATACCAAAGTTCAAAGTGTGATAATTAAACAACGGAGTAAAAATAAATATCTAGCGAAAACGATACAAGGATCCGTCTGTGTCCACCAGAAAATCTTTCACATAAGAGCTACTCCTCAAGTTGCACCTGCATCAGGGGTAAAATAAACCATGAGTACACAATATACTCGCAAGACTGACCGACTAGTGAAAATAATTTCCCGATTCTCAAGGATATGATAGGCAAAATGGATTTGTTGTTTTATTTTTGTTTGCGGAAAGCATTACTAATAGTTCATCCTTACAGTCAAGTTTTATTAGCAGTCGTGATTACTTCATTAACTAATCATTCTAGGTAAGCACATGTTCTACTTTCGAGTAAGAGTTAAGCAATCAGAACCATTTCATCATCTTTTATCTTCCAGTTCTTACTAAGGTGCTAGACCATAGCCGAGTCGTACCGTCTCACGGAAACAGTGATTTACGAACCAATGTATCACAGCTGGGTACCCCGAAACACATGTCCCGTTTATACCCCAGGCACAAACAAGACCAACCCATTCCACTACTGTTATGGGGTTTAGGTCCCTGTCCAAACTTAGACTCCAAGCCCCACACTTGAGATGCAGTCTCAACATGGTGCTTAGACCTTCACCTTTCCCCGCCTCCAATCAGTCGGTTCAAAAAGAGCCGGAACTCACGACAAGGGCGTAACGAGTCTTCCTACTCTCATAAGCAAGTATGTGCTCAGGATAATAAGTGTATGACCTGACTACCATCCACAGCAACGAACAGTCCTTAATCGACACGACAAGGAAAACAGTGTAACCAAGCTAGCCCCGTTGGCCGCGGGACACAACCTATTACACCCACCAATACCCATACCATATCCATGTCCTGTCTCCATTTTTTCTTTCATCATTTTAAGATGAGAGTAACTATAATAATCACCTATTGTGAGTAACGACAGGTTACTTACGCTACCAAAAACCTAAGTATATCAGCTACTCGAACATGCACTAGTAGGACTCATAGAACAGATATATCTATGCATATGGTTTCCATAGAATTCCTGTAACGTAAATGCACATCACATATATTTATGGTGATTATCAAAAATAAGGGTTATGCACCGAGGCTTGCCTTGGCAGTCAGTGGCGGCTCCGGGACCTCCTCCTGCACGAGAATCTCTTCCTCGTACTCCTCAATGATCTCTTCAAACTCGTGATCGCCGGTGGTCACGATCTTGGCCAACTCGTTCTCTACATGCATACGATAATGATGTAACACTTAGCATTTAGGCAATAATAACTCTTAAAATAAGAATACGCATATCAAGCTACTAAACTATCTCTAATGACTAAGATACTAAGCTAACTATCATTTTCACTAAGCAAAGTGTTGGGTTCAACTAACAAACACCTAGCTTTACAAATGAAGGATATATCTTTAATTCTACTAAGGATTTAATGTATATTGAAACAAAAAGCATTTAACTAGCCTAATGCTTAGTCTATTCTAAAACCACAAAAATTACAGTGAGCACATAATAATACAATGAAGCTACTATAAAAATTTCACGACTAAAGCTATCACCAATTTACCACAAAAAATCTTACAATAATTAACTTAATATTATTAAGCATCCTCAATCGATTTAATAGCTCCTAATGTTAACATATATAAACATGAACTAAATACACCACCAGATAGAGCACAATTTTAGAAACCTAACAAAATTTATTTCATAATTTTTGGACACCTACATGATTTTATATTAATTACCAAAGATTAGCTCAGAAATTAAGTAAGAAAACTATTTCTAATTCCTTATGAAAACGAAAAGCGAATCTCCCGCGCGGCCCGCTGAAGCGGCCCATGCGACACCGGCCCACGTGTGAGACGGCCCGCGGCGGGGGAATGTCGCGCGCGCTGGCGCTTTTGCAAAATAGACCTCTCACTTCTCCTGAATTACAACTAAGTCATAACGCTATTTCCCATTCTCACAAGACTTCTCGCTTAACCCCCAGGCTTTTCTAGAATTCCTCCACGCGCACCCCCGGCTAACCCGTGCCCGATGGCGCGGCGAGCGGTGGTATGGGGTGCCCACGCCGGCCACCAGAGACCCACACTAGCTCGTCGGTCAGGTCGACACTCAACAATGGTCCAACCGCCTACACCGAGCAGTAACGCGGGGCAGCGGGACGCACTGGAGCAAGCTACGGCGACGCGCGACCATCTGAGACGGTGATACGACTGCTCCGACGAAACAAGGCACCTAAGGACCTAACCGGCTAGCGAGTGAGCATCAGTAGACTATCGTGGACCTAGCCAAGGTGATGATTGGAGAAGAGGGTGATGAAGAAGGGCGGGCCACGTGCGGCTGAGTTGTGTGGCGGCGCACCGTGGTGGCACAATCGCGTCAGCGATGACGAGGAGGCGGTAGCGGTTTAGCTAAGGCACGCAGGGTGAAGAGGGAGTCAAGGCGATGCTAGTGGTGCAGGTGAATTGGTTCGGGATGGGCGGTAGGAGGGCTGCCCTCGACCATGGCCAAGTGCGGCCTTAATGGCACGACGGCGGGAAAACTCCAAATTGAAGCTTGGCCTTGCATGGTTCAAGGCTGGGTGGGGTTGGGCAGCGAGAGGACATGATGTTGAAACCGTGGATGCATTGAATTGAATGGAGATGATCACTCGTTGGGTAATTTGAAGGCTAAGGCTCGGTAATTTGAAGGGCAAAGAGAGAGAAAGAGAGACGGCGGGGAGGGGCCCATGTGTCGATGCTTGATCAAGGATCATGGAGGCCCACGTACAATGCCGTGGACAAGCGCCCCTGAATGGCATGGCCCGCTGAAAGGTCCTAATGGCTAGAGGGAATGAATAGCCTATTAAAAATTTCTACAACAACACTTAGCAAACCGGTTAGATAAATATAAGGCGAAGCAAGTGTTGCGCTAGCCTACTAAAAATGCAAGCCACCTACCATAATTCTAGTTTCTATAGTCTCTATCCACACAATGCCTATGTCACTATACTAAGTTAGTGTGCTCTTAAAGGCTAACTAAAGAGCCACACTAATCAAACTAACAAGCTCTCACGACTAGCTACACTAAAGAGCTTGATAACTAGTTTGCGGTAATGTAAAGAGAGAGATCAAGATGGTTATACCGCCGAGTCAAGAAATGAATGAATCACTCATAAGAATGAATATCAATGAAGACCAATCACCTTGAAATCAAATAATGACATAATGATTTTTTATCGAGGTTCACTTGCTTGCCGACAAGCTAGTCCTTGTTGTGGTGATTCACTCACTTGGTGGTTCACGCGCTAATTGGCATCACACGCCAAACCCTAAATAGGGTGCCACACAACTAA